CGCATCTCCTCGATCGTCTGCTGGATTTCAGCCTCCATCTTCACCAGTTTCTCTCCTTTACTCATTTCCTCCAGAGGATGATTGAATTTCATGCAGTCCCAAAGTAATGAAAGGCAGACCATGCAGACAATCGCCATCAGTTTGAAGCCTTCCCCATGGCGAACCTCCACACGTCTACCTGGCCGTTGCTCTGAGCGTCTGAAGGCCTCGACCATCTCAGAGATCAGAGTGTTGACCTGCAGCTCGGGCTTTGGGTAGAGCATCTTCATGCAGACGGGACACTGGAACGAGACGTCAGGATCTACGTATTTACACATGCAGGCTTTGCAGAAGTTGTGTCCACACGGCGTGCTGACCGGATCGGTGAACACATCCAGACAGATGAAGCACAGAAGCTGATCTTCAGTCAGCAGACGGGCGGCAGCAGCCATGTTTGGACACTGAGACGGGAAAGATGTCAGGAATATTAAAAAGTGTCTAAGATGTTTACACAGCTGTTTGCATGTTTGTGTTTATTTGTCACTGCTGGAAACGTCTTCATGGATCTGAGTGAACGACCAGTTTACACCTGTTATCAAACCTGTTGAAGCCGACAGGATGTTTCTGCTTAATTTCCTCTGAATGAAAACATTTAGAATAAACTGATTTAAGACTTACACTAAAAATGATTGCATAAGACTTTTAACAGCTGATTTTTACAAATATTTCTCATCCACACAAAGACTCATATCCAACAACCTTTCCTCGTTCTGTTGTATTGTTACTTCCCTTTAACTTGTGCTAAATGTGTGTGACAGCAGACTGCCACAGTGTTTGTGTATTATTGAGCTCATGAAGCAGTTTCAACAAGTCTTGTGAAAGCTAAGCAAACATGACAGAGTGAGCTCAGGGTGAGCGGCTGAAATGTGAGCCTTCAAACAGGTTCGCTTTAAGATAAATGAGTTTACTGAGCTCTACATGATGCAATGAACTAAAATACAAAGTCTGAAATCTGCATGAAATATTCCATCAGGAAAAATCTGTTTGAGAAGCTAAAAGATGCAAAGATCAGCTTTGTTTTCATGAATGCTTAAAGACACGAGCCGTACTCACCGCAGACGCTCTGCTGTGTTGATGGGGAACTCTGACAAACTCACACTAACGTGTGTTTGAAAAGAAAAGAGAAAGCGAAGAGCGCAGCAGGTGTTTGAACTGAGCGTGTGTCAGAGTAAAAGTGCTTCTGGATCACTACCTGTAACCTGTGGAGCTCCGCCTCCTGCAGTGTCAGCTGAGCAGCTCCTGTGATGTGGAAGTTAGTGTCCTGTCCTCCTCCTGCTGGAGACCTCATATCAGACTGTGTGTTGGTGCCTGGTTATGAGCTGGAAGCTTCAGCCCTCTGAAATTTGTTCCAGCCTCCAGTTTTCTAACAATAAACCACATTACTGCCATCATACATCCAACAAACCAGAGACACAGTGAAGTAGTTACTATGAGATGAACCTCATTCATCAACTTTAGTATTTTATATCCTCCAGCACCAGAAAAGTGAGAAAAATATTTAATCATGTAATCAATGCAGATGAAGCTAGTTGTTACCATGAAAAGTGTGAGATTTATAAGAAGGGAACAATTTAAGCAGGTTTTGTTGTGGATTTTTTTGATGACCTGGAAGCTCCTGACCATGCATGGAGGGTTTCACCCCAAGTCCAGCATCCTGAGGCTGTACGCCAAGCGGAAGGAAGGAGGCCGGGGACTGGTGAGTGTCAGCAACAAAGACCAGGATGAGACAACGAACATCCACGAATGCATCAGTAAGATGGCCACGACCGTCCGTGTGCTCAGTGAATACCTCAGGCAGCAGAAACCCAAGAAAGAGGAGGAAGAAGAGGCACCAACATGGCAGGACAGGCCCCTGTGAGGTATTTACCACCAGCAGATAGGAGGAGGAGGTGGCTGATACCCAGAAATCGTGATCGATGTAGCGGTTCTGAATGACAGCAATATCAGGAAGAAGGAACACGAGAAGCTGGAGAAATACCAAGGGCTCAGAGAAGAGCTCGAGAGGATGTGGAGGGTGAAGGTAACGGTGGTCCCCGTGGTAATCGGAGCACTAGGTGCGGTGACTCCCAAGCTAGGCGAGTGGCTCCAGCAGATCCCGGGAATAACATCGGAGATCTCTGTCCAGAAGAGCGCAGTCCTGGCTGGAGGAGGTCATCATGTTGGCCTTAAAATCTGGGAGCTGACAGTTTGTATGACAGAGTTTCTGTGGAGTGACCCGTGAATAGAAAACCTGCAGCATCTTTACCTCAAACTTCATGTTCAATCATAGAAACAGAAAATACAACATCGAGCTTTGAAAGAAGGACAGACCAGATCCAAGCTGTGACATGTTTTAATGCAGCTTATTAAGCTTTAATCAGAGACAGTATCAGAGGCTATAAATGGATTACACTCGCTCCACACACACTGTTTGTGTTTCAGTTCACACAATCAGAGGCGCCGACAGTATCGTGGACCAGAATGACCAGAGTGCACGATGCAGCTGTGATTTCAGGAGCACATGTTAATCTTGCTGTGACGAACACACACATTTAAAGTTAGACATGGATGCAGGAAAACGATGCAAAGCACGGGTTACATTTTCTGTTTTTCTTTTTCCCTCTTCTGGTTAATTCTGATGATTTTCTCTCATCACTCCTCTCTGGATGTTACCCTTCTGCTTCTTCTTGCCCTTACTCTTTCTCCCCACTATCCCGACTTCTCCCAACATCAGATAGTTTGCTTTATAGGTTGGTAAACTCTATAATACATTCAAATGCAACATCACCATTGTTATTGCAGCTAAAGCACTTCATTTCATTTCCATTCATTTCTTGCTGCCTGAGGCATCGGAATATGTTCTGAAGACCATTTGACTCTGGATCTGCGATTGCCTTCCCAAGCCACTCAAGTGATTTACGCAGGTTCAGAGGTATGTTCCCACCATCACGAGGTCTAAATAGATCTGAAAACACAACAACATATTTCCTCCAGTTTGTTATGTCTTGTATCCTAGTGAGAATATGCTGATCGTCGTTGAGGTTATTGTTGGTACATCTCTGATCACATGGGGAGTCGCGGACGTAGAAAACCATCAGATCATTTTCTGATTTGAAAGTGTTGACATGCTGCAGGGTTCGAAACTCTGCATGATCAGCTCTGCCATTCCGCATGTTAATGTTACGACACAACTTAACATCATTCCATGTCATGTCCTGTTTACGACATTTCCGCAAAACATCGGTCCACTGTACACGAGCATCAGGACACTGATCGAGAACATTGGGCCATCTCAGCACTGTGGCTGCCATCACTCTGTTACCTTTGTATACGTCACAGTCTAGAATCGTCTCCCTCACAACTTCACCACCATCAGGGACTCCATTCATATCAAACATGTTTGTTTGTTCATTGTACGGGACGCTCACGGCCACACTGAACATGGGAAACTTTCTGTCAAGCAAACAGAGAATATTCACCTGTAAAACATTTTCTTTATAACGTGAAGACAAAAGTATCCAGAGTGTTAAACCAGCCAAAGTGAGTTTTAGTCTCCTTTTGCTCAGGAAATGAGTCTTTTTCTGACTTTTGGAAAATTGATTAAAATCTTTTGGTTGTTTTGATTGTGTAACAGCAACACATCTTCATGCAGCTCAAGCATCAGGTAAGGAAATCCACAAAAAGTTGATTCTGTTCATCTGGATGTTTATAAGGTTGGAAACCTGCAGTCAGCTGACACTGAAGAAGTCAGCTGGATGATGATGAAACGTTTCTACCAGATGAACAGAATCAACGTTTGGGATAAAGTGTTCTACCAGCTGCACCTCACCATTACACACAAACTGCTTTTGGCTGTGTTTGTGTGTTTATGCTCCTGCTTCAATAATCAACACTTGTTTCATTGATCTATAAAGTCTGCATGTTACATTGGCAGGTTGTGGTTAACGACAGTTTCATGTTCGTCTCACCAACACCCAGCGTGTCAGAGCTAAAGAACATAACAGAGACTATTATTGTCAATAACAGTGAGTTTGTAATGATGCATTTGTTCTGTCAGTCTCTGCTTCTACGTGCAGCTCTGATGATCTCAGCTTGCTTCTGTTACTATAAAGCACACTGTAAGTACTGTGCTGCAAATTAAAGTGACCTTTGTTACTGACCTGTGGTAGTTTGCACCAATGTAGCTTGGTGTGTACCTGCCAAAAGACACAAACACAGTTTTGATGTTGATTCCATTTGGAAAGATTTACATGAAACCACAACAGTGTTGGTTTGTTTCCCTGAGAGTTTGTGAAAGGACAGAGAGGCTGATCTGTGTTAGAGTCCAGTGTGATACACTTTTAATAGCATATTAGCCACATGTTACTCTGATGCTCACAGTTTGTTTGTTAAAAACAGCTGCTGTAAACATCATCATCATGTTCAGTTTTTCTTCTGTATTTCACAGAACGTTCACTCACCTGTTCAGAATGTCATCTACAATTGGTGCGAGCTGGTTTGGGTCAATAAGTCTCATGCGTTTGTAACAGTCGCACCGTTTCAAGAACGACCTACAGAAACCCAGTAAGGAGCAGCCATCTGAGTGGGTTTAAGACAGAGACACAAATTAGACTGAATATATCACAGCTTCACATGTAATCTGTTCAACAAAACTGTCTCTAATTCTCTCAGATTATCAATTTATTTACAGAATAAACCTATATAACCCCAAACTTCGCTCCTGAACTCTAAGGTCAAGTCAAGGTAACTTTATTTATACCCAAAGGCAAGGTAAATTTGCTTTACAGAAAAATGATAGCATTTGGCATCCCTTTAAAAACACACATACCTAGTAAATATATAAAGCTCACTGTGGCACATATATAGTAATTTTAATATTTCGAATCAAAAACAGTTCTTATTTAATTCAGTGACAGCAACGGGGACAAAGCTATTTTTATAACGCTTTGTCCTGCATCTCGGAAATAGAAACCTCCGTCCTGAGGGAAGAAGCTGAAATTCACCCCTTAGAGGATGGGAACCATTTTTAAGGATTGATAAAGCCATCCTCTTTTACTGAAGATTGAGGAGCTCAAACGCTCAGTGGAGCTCGGTAAAGAGGACGCAGACAGAGAGATGACAGATGGTGCTCGGGTCTTTGCTGCTCTGAAAGAGTATGTCGAGAAAGGTGAGGCCAAGCTCACGGAGGCCATCAGAGAGAAGCAGAGACAAACAGAGCTGCAGGCTGAAGGCTTCATCAGAAAGATGGAGCAGGACATCCGTGAACTGAAGAAGAGGAAGACGGAGGTGGAGCTGCTCTCTGTGCTTCAGCTGGAGGAGCCACTCTCTGAGGAGATGAAGGAGAAAGTACCCAAGATGCTCGCCAGGTTCGAGCTGAGGCGGGTCCAGAGCTACGCAGTGGACGTGACGTTTGATCCAGACACAGCAAATCCTTACCTCGTCCTGTCTGACGATGGGAAACAAGTTCATGATAGTGACGTGAGGCAGAAGCTTCCAGACAACCCAGAGAGATTTTCTTACTGCATCAATGTTTTAGGAGAGCAGAGTTTCTCTTCTGGCAGATTTTACTTTGAGGTTCAGGTTAAAGGAAAGACTGAGTGGACTGTGGGAGTGGCCACAGAGTCGACCAACAGGAAGGCTCAAATCACACTGAGTCCTGGGGACGGTTTCTGGACTGTGAGGCTGAGAGACGGATACGAGTACAACCAGAGGTTGATTTTTGGTAACACCAGCAGTAACCAAAAGTTACCGTTGGTGTTAAATCTGGTGCTAACAGATAACTAACAGTTTACGGGTTTGAAGCTTGCAGCATAACTGCACAGGATGACGTTATGTACAGTTGAGATCTTTAACTCATCTGGATCATAAAGAAATCATTTCCTTTTTATTTATTTATTTATTTATTAATCCTAACTCTGAAAGCATGTAGTTTTGTGTATATGGATACAATTATACTTATCAGAACTATTTGAAGTCAAACTGAACTACCTATAATTTCCTAGTTGTGCCACTAGAGGGCGTCATTGTTGAAGCTTAAACTAAAGTTCTAGTTCAGCCTGGAGAAAACTCATCAGATAATCCAGTAAACATCATGTACTTGAATCTTTGTCTGCTACAAAAGATAAACAAACATTATGACGATGAACTGTTTCACAGCTGGATTTTATTTTTCTTTGTACAAACCGCTCGGCCCGAGCTGTTTAAAGCTAAGAAGTAGCCCCACCTACAAAGCAGGGTAAAGTGTTTTTGGATGTTTTGTGATGTAAATAATTTAATCATATGTTTTCTGAGGCAGACTGTTATCATGTAACTTGGCCAATCAGCAGTGGACTTCCAGAGATACTTGCTGTTGACCTTGATCATGTGACCTTAATCTGCATGCACAGAATTCATCCTGCTCAGCCGGAAGTCAGGAAAGTCGGACATCTTGTTAGCAGAAAAGCAATCAGCTAGCCGCTAAGCTAATGGCTACAGTAGAGAGAGGACTGTGCTGGCAGCATTAGTGTGTGAAGTGTAGGGATGGGTATTGATAAGATTTTCACGATTCCATTTTCGATTCTGTTTAACGATTCGATTCTTTATCGATTCTTTTTTTTAAAAAAGGAGAACACTAAGGTCGATTAGCTTAGAACTTTGTTTTATATCTTCTCTTTGAACAAGATAGAAATTTAGGAGTAACATGGCCTTACAAACCCAACAGTGAGATCTTAAGAGATCCAGCCTCGGCTCTTCAATGGGGTGTCACAGGGTCCCCAGGAAAAAAATTGTAAATGTAAAATAATAAAATAAATATTCTTCTGTAGCAATAACAAAGTATAACATAAATTATTCTGTAGCAATTACACAAGAATATCCAGTAATGTCCCTGCCTACAATTAAACACATTCACTTACTGAAAATCATCTGCTGTGGCAAACGGGTGCAAGCCTTTGACCACAAACTGTGCCCTCGGAGACATTCGTCTACTCACTGTGCTGAGAGACGCTCCGTAATGAGTTGCCCTTATAAATAAACAAAAATGAAGCCTGACCAAAACTGTAGTCACTGCTCGGTGACATTCGTCTATCCTGGCCTGAAAGGAGACGCTACCGGCAGACTGCAGCGAGAACTGCCAGCATCTGAGCCAGACTCTGTTCTCTCTCATCATGGTCACCTAAATGCACAGTAATGGCAGGTTTGTAATAAGGCAGATCGCGCTAACATAATATGCACTGTTAGTTGATTATTTACCTGCCGCATTAACGGGAGAGGACGTGCAAACGTTACCGCTGCTGCTGGGTTGAGATTCACGAGTCCGGAGCGGAATTAAAAACACGACATTCATTTAAGGTCATCGTGTGTTTTGTGAGCAAATGCTTTTGCATATTCGTAGTGTTTCCTCCCTTAAATGAAATATCTACTTTGCAAGTATTGCAAGTTGCCCTGTTGTCATCCGTTCTCGTAAAGTATAACCAAACTTTTGAGCATTTGAGCCGCCGTGTTTCCTGCCAGGTAAATGACGCTCCGCAACGTGGTGACGTCATTCGGGGCGACTGGAATCGATAAGGGAATCGTTTGCAAAAATGGCAAACAATCCCAAGGAATTGAAACCGTGGGAACCGGTTCTCAACAAGAACCTGGTTTCGATACCCATCCCTAATGGTGACCCTCTTGGCGTGGCTGGTGTTGTCGAAGAGGCTGACCAGGCCTCCTGGTCTTGCTGGCCTCCTGCAGAGCCATGATGGTGGAGCACTGGAAGCGCTGGTCGGTCTTGAAGTCCTGAGTAATCTCTTACACCAGGCCCATTAGGAGCAGTTTGCATATGAGCAGCTTGGAGGATTTCTGCTAACAGCAGACCTCTCAGAGAACCACGGGCCAGGGCCTGTAGCAGTGAGGCTTCTGGTACTCTTTCGGGTCGCTGCTTCAGCGGTGCTTTGCCTCCAGTGGCTTTGCAGTCATCCTTTCTTTATGTCTGCTGTCAATAGGAGAATATGGAGGAAGAAGAGTGCATGCACTGTGTGCAGGAGCAGCTGTGATGCTGTGGCTCCTGATTGGTGAGGAGACCCCACCATCTCAGCGTGCACTGCTCATGTATAGCAAGTCACTAGTGCCATATATCGACACATGTCCATCCCGTCCAGTGAACAAATCAGCACTATTTGCTTAACATACTTGTTAAGTGATTCGTTCGACTGCAGTTCTGCGTGGGTCGTGTCCACCGGGGCTAGCCAGAAACGCTGCCCGTGGCAAGGATCATACGGATCAAACACACAACAACGAGGGGCTCAACAAGCTGCTGGGTGAGTCACCGTCACTCAGGGTGGAGTGTAGCCCAACAAACAGACAGTGCTGCTGCTCAAGAAGACCAAAAAGTCTGTGAAGATCCAGGAAGCACAGCAGCAACAGAAGTCCAGCTGCAAACAAACACAAAGACTCTTTTAAGAACTGCACACTGTTCTGTCTCAGCAAACATCGTTACCAGTCTAAACTTATTCATCATTCCTTTTTGTTTTTTCATTTTATACTGTTTTCCAAATAATCCCAAATAGGTAGAACAAATTAAAAATACATCCCGAAGGTTAAACTGTCAGTGAAACTACTTTCAGCAGTAACTGAATGTCTAATAGTGTCATTTAATGATTTATTCATTACTTATTTTGGCGGAGTGTGCCAGGTCCCGGGATCTATATGCCAGTAAAAGTGCTGTAAAACAGAAAATACAGTTAAAAAAAAACTTCCTTTTTGCTTCTGTGGTTTGGTCCTGGTGTGTGTTTCTCTGTGGCTGTGGATTTTCCACTTTGTTTTTCAACATTGCAGGTTTGCTGCAGTGTCCTCGATGCACCTCCTCACAGTTCTTACATTTCCCCTGACATTCTCAAACACAGTGTCCCTCAATGATAAACTCTGTCAGAGAACGTTTTTGGGACGTTTTGGAAAATCAAAAATCTGGTGTCGACTGCTCCATTCTGGATGTGCAAAGCTTGCTCAGTCTCATCATCAGATTCAAACTGTAACAGGCTAACAGCAGCAAACTCAGCACAGCTTTATCTCTGACATCACTGAGTGAGTCTTTAGACGCCCGGGTCAGCTGATGTCATCTCTCATAAACAGCTTTTCTAAACATTTACTGTGAAGCTGCATTTGTTTGCACATGTGTGTACATGTAGTGTTACCAGAGATGGGCAGTAATGTATTACTTTTTACCGATTACTTTTTTCAAGTAACAAGTGAAGTAAGGGATTACTATTGCAAAAAAGTAATTAGATTACTGTTACTTTTTTATTGCGTTACTAAACTGTGATGTTGTTTGTGAGAGCGTCTCATGACAATGACGTACGAGTGTGCGACGTCCATGGCAGCAACAGACGTGTGCAGATCAACAATGGATAACATGGAGTGATGGAGAGAGTACGACCATGCATCGTTTAAAGTGTGGAAGTACTCACATTACTTTGAGTTTGATTCTGTAAAAAGTGTCTGAAACTTCTTTTTACAGCGAAAAAAATCCTAAACTTCTGATCAAGCAGCGAGCACGCTGCCACGGGAATGTGACATTCACAGAGAAACCCCGGATCCTCCCACTGACATGACCGCTGTGGGCAAACCTCCACCCGCCCCACTCCTGCTAAACAGGTGACAATAGATTAGACAGATCTATGATTTTAATTCTTTTCTGCTGTGTTGTATTTGCATCTATTTGAAAGAGTGTAAACACAAAACATGATTTTGTTTTACATGCTGGATTATGCAGGAAATAGGTTTAAATGTTAAACACATTTCTTCAAGTCAAAGACTGTTGCATATAATATAATTTTTGCCTAATGCAATGCGCAGTAAGTTAAAAGATTAAAGCTGATAAAACAATTTTAAAAAGAGATTTTTTCATTTGATGATTAAGCAGAAAAAACAGAATGGGGCTGAAAGGTCTGTTGCTTCATTACATATTCAGGTTGTGTATCATATTTTAAAAAAAATACAAAGTGATGAAGCAACTAATTACTTTTGAAAATAAGTAATCAGTAAAGTAATTGGATTGCTTTCTTGGAGAAGTAATCAGTAATTAGTAACTATTTACTATTTTTAAGTAACTTGACCAACACTGAGTGTTACACACTTACTCGTTAGTGTTACTCGTGTGCTGTCGCTCATTGTCACCTGGAAACAGGAAGATGATAAACTATGTGTTGTGTTAGTGTTGGTGAGTTTCTTTAGTGCACTTCTAAAGTTTTAACACTTCAAACTTCTTCTTTTGAGTTGAACTGTTGTTTCTGCTTTATGGTCAAATGTCTACGGTCATTACTCGCGTCACGATGATGAGTTAAAGTTTAAATAATTCAAGTTTTACTAGTTTGTTGAAAATGTGAGCAAGATTTAGAACAACTGAGTTTACACACTGCAGGGACATTTCCAATAGACCAAGTTCAACAAAGGACAGACCTGAGTGGATTTTTACTGAGTGGTACTGGTTTGGGGTAAATGTTACATGTTGTTGGATTTTCGTAAGATTAAAGCTCTCAGACTCACTACCCGTGTAGTTTATGTGGTGTAGAATTACACCATGTTTTCACCACACAGTAAAGATGTGAGGTGTGGACTTTCAGCTTTATTCAAAAATACTACATTACCTGTTTAGGACAGTCCCCTCTATTTGAGAGGTTCAAAAGTATCTGACAAGCAGTTTCAAGGGTGGGTGAGGCCTGTTCTAATTATCT